TATGTCGCTAGCCCTCCTTTTCAAAAGAAACATAACTTAATTAATTTAAAATGAAGACAAGTTAAGGACCACTCCAGTTTAACATGAATTCAAGCAATCATCTAAAATTAAAGAATTTAATTAGATTTACTTACCTTTCCTTGGATGCTGGATTCCTCCTCTTTCTTCCCTTTTCTTTCTCCCATCTTCGCGCTCCTTCTTTGCCCCTTTTCTTATCTGTTTTTCGCCCCAAATCCAGAGAAATTAAGGGGGTTTTATCCCCCTCCCCCCCCCCCCCGGCAAGCCGGTGAAGGGATGGACACACAAAGGCCCCCTTCCATAAAAAGTCCAAGTGCCTGTATTTTAATATTTAATTCATTTCTGTTGTTTCTTTCTCTCTCTCCTCCTTCATTCATTTTTTTTTTTAAACACTCCTGCCTTTTACGTAAATCTAGAGGCTTCAGCCTTTTGAGGAAGCTTGTGGGGTAGTGTCTCTTTTTCCATTTTATTTATTTATTTTTTTTGTGGGTGTAAATCTAGAGGCTTCAGCCTTCTGAGGAAGCTTGTGGGATAGTGACTCTTTTTCTATTTTATTTATTTATTTTTTTTGTGGGTGTAAATCTAGAGGCTTCAGCCTTCTGAGGAAGCTTGTGGGATAGTGCCTCTTTTTCTATTTTATTTATTTATTTATTTATTTTGTGGGTGAAGAAGCCCCACGTAATTCTAATCTTCTCTCTTTTTTTTTAATTCTTTTTCTGTTGCATCCATGGCTTTACAAGTTGGGGGATTGATTATTTTTATTCCCTTTTGGTCGATTGGATAACTGACAATCCCTTCGAAATACTTATTTTACCCCTAACTTATTGAATTAGTTACTTTCATGTCCTTGACTCTCAATTTACCACTTAACCCTATAAAATTTAGAAAATGCCCTCCTTGTCCTTTAAACTTAAGTTTTTAAGCTAAATAAAATCACAATTTTTATTATTTTTAGATTTTATATAATTATTTTATTTTTTTACAATTTTTTTATTACTATTATTTCCAAATTTAAGTTTTCCTCCTAAATAACTACTTTCCTTCGAAATAATAATAATAATAATTATTATTATTATTATTATTATCACTTCAGACTCATAGTTTAATATTTTTACATGTTTCTTAAATTATTTAAAGGATTTGTCAATAAGAAAATAAAATAATTCCCTTTTAACTAAAATTTTTTTCAAAGTATACCCTAAAGGCTTATGTTATACTTAATATTGCAACCTTATAAGAAAAGAAAAGATTTATTTTGGAATTGCTAGTAAATTCAGGATGTTACATCTGTAGCTCTTGACATCTGACTAAATTTTCTAATAAGAATGGTTTTTTTTTCCTTTTTTTTTTTTTGGGGGGGGGGGGTGGTTATATTATTACCTGGACTTTTAAGCTGTAACCATGAGTAGGTGGCTCAGATTAATTCATTTACTGACATATGTCATTTGCGAAGCCATCCCCTTGTAAACTGATATTTTCAATCAACTGATCTTAAACTAATTGAATTTCTTAGTACATAGCTTACAAGTTTCCTGTTGCTGCTGATGGTCCTTTAACCCCTATGAAATGTTAGCTAGCAAGTCACAACACAAATACTGTTGATGTTGGGTGTAGAAACACTGCTTTTACTTTTTACACACAATAATTGAACCTATAGCTTATAGGTTTCTTGTTAGTGCTAATAGTCTTTTAACCCATATGAGATGTTGATTGCCACTCTTTTCACCTTTCACGTGTAGAAATTGAACACATAGTTTATAAGTTTTCTGTTGTTGCTAATGATCTTTTAACCCATATAGGATGTTGGTGGGGAGTTCATAATACAGATGTTGATGCTAGGTGTACAACACTGCTTTCACCTTTAAGGCGGATAAATTGAACGTAAAAGTACTGCTCAAACTTTTCACGAAAAAAGTGGTATAATAATAATAATAATAATAATAATAATAATAATAATAATAATAATAATAATAATAATATACACCTGATAAGTAGAGGCAGCTGTCAATAGCAGGCCGAATGTGGAACAGCCCCAATTGCCCGTCCACATGCATTTCACGCGGCTTAACTGTGCATTGACGGGAAATTAGGGAAATTAGGCAGATCCAATAGATTAAGGGACTGGCCATAAAAATTTATACATGACGTGTGTCACTTAATTAACCTATAGTTTAGGATGGTTATTTTTTAAAATAAATAATTCAATTTATTATATTGATGAAAATTTGAAGCTTAGAAATAAACACTATGATAAGAGTTTTTCCTTATCATAATGAAATGGGGAGGAAAAAGTTGGCAGTGATTGGACACGGGATGTGGGATGAACATGATGAATAAAAATTTTTCTTATTCCGGTCAAAGGCATATTGCCCAGTAAATTTTAAAATTTTAAATTAGGATGATAATTATGTATTCACATTTTCAACTTACTCTACCTAACATTTTGATCCTGTCGGAGGATCACTTGATGTCAGTCTGAGATAAGGCAGAATCACAGCATGACAATCAGAGATGAGGCAGAATGCAAAAGGTATTCTTCACCTTAGTGTGATTCAACCTCAAATTTTATATATAATATTATATATATATATATATATATATTTAAACAATATTTATCCCTATTTTAAATAAATTGAACATAAAATATTCACAGTATTCGTTATTATAACAAATTAAGGTCATATATATTTCATTAGTATAATAAAAATCAATATCTATTTAACTATAAATTATTATTTCAACTTATGCTAAAAATGTAATTTAATCAAATAAAAAAATAGCCGCAAAAGAACCTCACGTTGACCTCTACCCCTAATTTTTAAGGATAATTGGTGAATAAGGGTTGAATATTATTAGGGTTAATTTGCCAGTGAAATAACCTTTTACAAAAAAAAAAAAAAAAATGTTGATCTTATATTTTTATGGAATAAATAATAAAGTAAAGGGAGACTGAATATGAGTAAATTATTTATGTATAACATGTGTTTGGGTGGTGGTCTGTTTAATATTTAAAAATAAATAATTAATGTATAAGATTTTTACTGGTTGTGGTGATAATTTTAGAATTTTTTTAGATGATTTCACTCATCTTGTTTAGACGAGCCCCGCCACTATACAGAAGAAGGATAAACGAGATTATCAAAAAGAGTTATGACGTAATCAAGAACCAATTTTTACAGTTGATATAGTAATTGAAAAAATTCATTAATTACCAATGAAACAAAAATTGGTTAAATAATAGATCATTCGAGAATACTATACTCTTTTCAGAGTAACTATGACTATTTTATTAAGCCACACAATGGAAGATAAAACGGATGGATGGAAACTAACGGCAGGACCGGTCCGGTCCATATATCCTTACCCGGCAACCAAAATGGCCGAAGGGAATCTATGGGGGCTTTAGCCGCCTGGACAAGTCATTGTGCATTGCAGCATGGGTTTCAAGTGAGATGTTTTGCCAAACATGGAAAGCAAGTCGTGACTTGACATTAACTTTACCCTAGTTTTGGAGCTTTCGTTAAAATTTATATTTTAACTTTTAAAATGCAAAGCCTTTAGTAGTCAACATGGTTCGGTTTCTAACAATTTTTTAATAAAATTTGTACAATTTTTTTTTGAATGTTAAAATCAAGGCTATATTTTTCAATATTAGTAATATTACCGTCCGTTTCATTTGATTTTAAGTTGGTATAGTTCAATTACTAATACAAAATATAGGAGCACATTATAAAAATGCTTCTACTCCTATTAGTGTTAGGTTGTTCAATTTGGTCTGTGAGCTGTTATTTGGTGAAGTTGCATAAGCAGATCAAATTCTCTTGGAAGCAAGCTTTAGTTTTGTATTGTCATATCAGGACTTGAATTCTGATTAGATTATTACTGATGTAATTTCTAATTCAAAGGTGTTATTGTGAATTTGAACTGGACCCCATTATATGTGTGTGATGTCTGTATGCATATATAGCTTTTGGCTCCAAACCGTGATGGTAAAGTTTGGTGTGATGGAAAGAACCAAATATAGAGGGGCTGTCCAGAATTTTACCTAATTCGTTTATCACATGTATTAAATATAGAATGAAGTAGAATAATTTTATTTTATTCTACTTTTTGAGAGGTACCGAACATATTTTAAGAACAGAATACAACCTAACAAAGTATGGACGGGTGCTGAACATTGTCCTAGGAGAGAACACATTCTAAGAAAGTGTAGGAGAACATGTCACATGCCTCCCCCATAATGTCACATTTGCAGGTGAGAGCAACTGTTTCACCTGTTATTTAACAGCCATTGGTTAAACGATAGAGAGCCCCGTTTGTTTCCAAAAGAAAACCTCAAAGTTCTAGATCAAGCTACCATGGCAGTGTCTGTTGATATGTTTTGTCTTCGCCATCCATGCTATTTGCGTGGTCCAAGGAATTTCGGAACCAGGAGCTGGAGTTGTAGTACTAGGACAAGGCTGCAACTTTATTGCTCAACGACTGTCCAGGATCATCCGCAAAATGATGGACGACAGTCGGCTAGTTATCAGCCAACTTCTTGGGCTTGCAACCATGTCAAGTCCTCCAAAATTAATTACTATGCGGTGAATTTATTGATTACACTTTATTTAGCAGTACTTTTATTTCTTTACTTCACCGTTTATTGTCCTCTCACGTAAAGTGGGATTGGTCCTACTAGTTGACCCGATTTTCACCAGCGAGGACAAAAGTGTGATCTATAAGAGCATATATTCTTGGATTGTAGTTTGTTTGTTGGTAATAATAAATTCAGGATGAATCAAGCAAGCAGAGAGCAAGGAGATTAAAGGAGGAAGTAGAGGCAATGCTTAGAGAAGAAGCAAATCCATTGAAAGTACTTGAACTCATAGATGACATGCACCGCTTGGGAATTAGTTATCTCTTCAAAAAGCAAATAAAGACAGCATTCCAGAGAATAGTGTCTAAATAAGGAATTAATCTCACACTAGAGACAAGTCTTCATGCCACGTCTCTCTTCTTCAAGCTATCCAGAGAATATGGTTACGACCTTTCTCAAGGTAATGAATATGTATTGCATCTCTAAGCTTAAAATTATTGTTAAAATCTTCGTATGTCCTTTCGTAAACCACAGTATTATGGGTTGGTTGGATTTTTTTCCACATAATAAGTGGAGTTCATTTAAATGTGATTCCCAGATGTGTTTGAAAATTCAAGGATGGTAGTGACAAGTTCAAGTGCCCAAGCGATGACGTCCAGTTCAGGCTTTCCTCAGTCTATACGAAGCTTCATATCTTGCTCTGGAGGGAGAAAACATACTGGATGAGGCCAGAGCGTTCACAAGCGTGTATCTCAAGGGCCTTCAGAGAAAGATAAATAGTGGACTGATGGAAGAAGTAAATCATGCACTGGAACTTCCTCGCCACTATAGGATGTTTAGGCCAGAAGCTCGGTGGTACCTCAACGCAAATGATAAAAGAAGAGACGCAAATCGCGTGCTTCTGGATTTGGCTAAGTTGGATTTTAACATGGTGCAATCTATTCTCCAAAGCGAGCTCCAAGACGTGGCAAGGTAATTTTTCATTAATTTGAATCACCTTTCATAAACAAGATCGAAGACCATTGCTAACAGCATAATTTTTTGAACTGTTTGGCCTATTTTCGTTAGTTCTTTCACCCAAACAAAAATCTGTCTTGAAGGAGTTCAGATTATATGACAGGCAAATATGATAATTTTATTATGAACTTCCAATAGAAACGCTGTGCTCTGGTAGCTCTTGTAGGCGATGGCATCTGACAAAATTTTCTGATAAGAATGGATTTTTTGATTAGGTGGTAGGAGGTCATTGGTTTAAGTTTGCTAGGGTTGGAATGGTGGAATGCTTCTTTTGGGCTGCGGGCATGGTCTTTGAGCCCCAATTGAATGAATGCCGCAAGGGGTTAGCAAAAGTCGTAGCTCTCCTAACAACCATAGATGATGTGTATGATGTTTACGGATCACTGGAGGAACTGCAACTATTTACCCATGCTGTCGAAAGGTTGCATGCAAAACTCTATTTCCTTATATTTGTGTTTACACAGTTTAACTAAGATTAATTATTAATCATCAATTATTTTAAGCTTTAATTAATGGTGTTTACAGATGGGACTTAGATGCTCTAGAAACCCTACGTGACTACATGAAGCCGTGCTTCCTTACTTTGTACAACACTGTCAACGAAATGGCTCAAGAAACTCACGAAGAGCAAAGCGTAAACACTATGCCTCATCATCTCTCAAGGGCGGTAGGTGATAGTACTCTCAAATTCAATTTTTTTTTTTAAATGCAGCTAATGAGTAGAGATAATTAGCTGTCAACAGTAGGCCCAATATGGAACCGTCCTTGCACCGTCCACATGCATTTCACGTGGCTTAACAATCCATAGGCGGGAAATTGGGGATATTAGGCGAATCAAATAGATTAAGGGACTGGCAATTAAAATTAATACACCATGTGTCACTTGCAATTTACCTATAGTTTAGGATGGAGTATCTTTTTTATTTTTTTCCAATTAAGTAATTCAATTTATTTATTTTTAATTTTTATATTGTTAAAAATATGAAGGTTTTAAAAAAATAATAATAACTCACCTTCCGATTTCTGTTTTTGACAGCGGGCAGATTTATTGAAAGCATTCTTGGTGAAAGCAAAGTGGCGTTTTAACAAACACGCTCCAACATTAGAAGAATATCTTGAATGTTGATAATGCGTGGATAACAGCGACAGGAGTTGTTTTACTCACGCACGCTTACTTCTTGTTGTCCAAAGATATTACGAAAAATTCACTAGAAAACTTAGATTTGTTCCATCCTCTCCTTCTAGATTCGTCTTTGATTTTTCGACTCTGCAACGATCTAGATACTTCCAAGGTATGTAATTGGATTCCTATGATCAATTCCCATACATTAAATTTTTTTCCCCATAAAAAAGAGATATGTTTCATGGCAGTTGGTAGTTTACTTATTTCAATTTTTTTTTTTTAAGAACAATTTTGGTTGTGGAAATAGAAAACTTATTTTGGCAATTGTTTGCAAATTTTATTTTCAAGAACTTTTTTTAAAAAAATAAAAAATATGCCCAGTATTTTTTCCAAGAAAAACAAGTAATATATAAAATGTTTAGAACTACTTCATTTCATTTGATGAATAAACTGTTTTTCTGCTTTGCAAAACAGAAAAAATAAAAATTGACAATAAAAAAATAGAGTAAAAAAACGTAAATCCAAAGGCCCGATTCATAGGATCGGAAATTAAAATTGATATTGTTTGTATGATAGGCTGAGTTGGAGGGGCGAATCTGCAAATTCATTATCGTGTTGCATGAAGGAGAGCGGGTTTCAGAAGAAGTTGCGCGCAAGCACATAAGAAGTCTAACTGATGAAACATGGAAGAAGATGAATAAGCACCGTTTGGCTAATGATTCTCCCTTTGGAAAACTGTTTACTGAGATGGCAATCAACCTGGCCCGTAATGCAGAATGCGCGTACCAAAAAGGAGATGGGCATCGAGATCCGGATACCCATGCCAAGAACCGGATCTCATCTGTGGTATTTCAGCCACTGGAGCTTACAGAATAAATGAGAAAAGAGCCCTCACGTGTTAAATATTTTCGTCGATTTCAGCTCCCTCAACTCGAGGATGGCCTCTCAGGCTTCACAAGATAATATTGTAATTTTCCTTGTCTCTTATTTTGGATGTAGCCAAACTGGTCCCGCTGCCCAAAATTTTAAATAATATTATTAAAGACTAAATTTCATATTTTCCAGGGAACAAGAGAAATACAAAACCACCACCACCTTGCCTAAAGAAAAAAAAAATCACAAGTTCTACGTTGCATGATATAGAGCGGAAAAGTTAAAGAAAATTTAATCATGTTAAATCTCAATAGAGAATTTGAAATATATCGAATATATATAGAAAATTTATTTTAAAATTTTATTCAATATAAAATATCAATATCTGAATTTTTCAAAAAATATCCGCAAAGTAATTATTTATAATGAAAAATAAACTTTAATTAATAAGAAAATTAAATCATAAAAAGTTGAAAAATTATGAAAATAACTATTTAAAATATTAAGATCAGTCAATTTAAATTCCTAATGCTTCTAATTGGTCTAAAAAAATTTCAGCCATTTATCTTATATCCCATTCTGATAAAAGAATACAAAATTAACAAGATCTCTAAAATAGGATAACTGTAAGGGCTTGTTTGATTATAGGTTTAAATAAATTTTTAAAACATGAATTTCAAAAACTTAGGCTGCACAAATTAGATTTGGAAAGAGTAAATTTAATTGTTGGTTTTTAAAACATGTGTTCGACTGCTAAGGCTTCTTCTGTCAATCCAATATAATTAAAAATATTATATATATATATATATATATAAGTATGAAAAAAAATGAATTTATAAAAAGTGGATTTATTTGCTTTCCATCAAAATGGATTAAAACGAAAAAACAAACAAGCTCGTGGATACATTTTTTTGATATAATAACAAAATATATAGAATGCCAAATCATTATATTCATCAAGAAATTCAATTAGTGGTCATCTCCTTTCATCTACTAACCTCTCTGTCCTTCATGTAACTTGGAAATAAAAATTCGTTGAAGCACTGCAAGAGGCAAAACATGGAACCACTAGTGTAATTATTTTTAATATTTCGTGGTCCTGTCCATATCGGACAGCGCTACAGCCGTCCATAGTAACCTCTCTTTCTAATTTGTCTGCGCCATCTCATAAGCAATTACGTAAACATGATGTGAGTCGTAGAGGTAGGACTTGGGAGATTGCTTTTGCTGGGCTTGTATTCCCCAAATAATAGACTTGAACATAATTATTTACATGAATTAATAAATAATTATTAAGTATAAATTGATAGTTGAATTAAAAAAATTAAGTGATGAATATTTATAAAATTTATTCTGAAGATCTGAAAGGGTAGTTTTTTGCTTTACCTGCCCACATGACCTTTACTGTGGTTTTATTTTGAATTATTTGTTAATCTTATTCAACTCTATCATTTATTTTTATATCAAATTAAGGGAGATTTAATTTTTTTTAAAAAAATCTATATTTCTTTTTTCAAAAATTCTATAACTAATGTGATTTTTTGTAAAAGAAAAAGTAATAAATAAGTAGATTGTAATATAAACAAACAAATAAATAATAGATAAATATTTATTTAACCTCTATATTATTGGTATTTAAAACAATTTCTCTCTAATTTTAAACATTTGTTACTTCTTTTAGATCAAGAATTCTAATCAAACAGCTAATTTTTTAATAAATTGTATACTTGTGATTTATTAATGATTTTTATGAAAATAATTTAATCAAATTAAAAAATAAACTCTTTTTTCTTAAATTAAACTTATAATCAAACGGACCTTAAATACTTTAAATAATTTTGCACACTCTTTTATCTGAAATAATTTAAGTAAATCAAACAATGTAGCCTAAATCAATAGTTTGTTCAACATATTTCTACTCATGTTGCCGTAATGAGTTAGATAAATATACCATTAGATAATTATACCAAAGATTTCATGTACAGCAGGAAAAGTGAGTTTTCCTTGCTTGTCTTGCTAACTTTGGAATCTTACATTGCTTTTGATTCTCCTTTTTTTTGACTTATTTGTGTTTTTATTGTTTGATAAATGTTAAATATATAGAAAATGAAATTATTAATCAATAAATCATAATTTGTTTCCACCAATAGCCAATGGGTTTACCAGATCATTAAATTCACGGCATGCTTGTAGTCATAATCTGTATATGACGTCACGGAACGCCAAACGCCCAATTAAGAACCGTTTTGCCAATAATTCTCTTTTTACAGAAAATGTTTATTGCCTTTATTTGATGTTAAATACTAAAATAATAAATTATAATATTAATAATTATTAAATTAGTATTAAATATTATTTTGATACTAATTTAATAAATATTAAAATTTTTGATAGAGTAAATTAAGATATAATATCAAATGAATTTGTTTATTGAGACGGCAATAAACCTGCCCTTATTAAAATGGAGTTCCAGATATCCATGCCAATAATCGGATTCTACCCGTAATAGCACTTGGCAAATGAAGGAGTGGCATCCATAAGTTAAATTATTCTAACAGCAGTAAATATTTTAAACTTTTCATAATTTTTTTACATAGTAGGGATGAGAAAGAGCACCGTCAATAATTGAATTTTTAATTTTTAAATAAACCTTACTAGTATTTTATCAATTAAAATAAAATTTAAATTTGAACTTTTTATAATTTAAATAGGTCCATTTTTCCTACTATTAATTAGTTGCTTTCTTGCTTTACATTTCATAATCTTCCATATATGGCGTTTTAGATACATGTTGTGGTACTATTCTCTATTTCCAGGTGCGTTGTAAATTTTTAAAAATTTCAAAATAAATTGATGACTTGCATAACCTTTCCCCTCTTTACAAGCTTTAATCTAATTATTTAAATATTAAAATATTAAGATTGTATTTAGTGGGTTGAGAACTGGAGAAGTATTGAACTAATGTGAACAAAACTGAGGTGAATGGTAGCTTGTTTACATTAATTGAAGACTACAAGATAATGACAGTCATGGGAGTTGAAAGATTATATAAAGCTCAAAATTAATGTCGGTTTTGCAGCACAATTAGCAATGGCATTCTCTCTCATCTCCTTGGCCCTTCCGTGCGCTATCCCTTTCTCTTCCCTTAAACATCACTCACAGAGAGAGAGTTCTCCTTTTCGTGTAGGAATTGCTTCAATCAAGGCCTCCACCTCGACTAAGTATGACGCAAGGGAGCCTAGTAGACGATCAGCCAACTATCAGCCAAGTTCTTGGTCTATTGATTTTCTTGAGTCCCTAGGAGATAGTCTCGCGGTACTTCGTGTCCACACTCCCTCTTTGTTATAGGACATTTTATACATTTTTGTTCTTGTAGGCCTCTCTTATTTTGATTTTGATCTGTTCATTGTATCAGATGAATTCTAAGCTCTAAAATTGACTGCAAATGGTCGTTAGCTCAGTAGGGACAATTTTTCATTATTTAGTAATTGTAGTAAGGCAAAAATATAATAAGAGACATTGGTTTTATTTTTTGTCTTAAAAAAATAAGGAGTTAGCTATTGTCCTATGTGGAATAACTTTTGAAATCTTGAGGTTAAATGTGTTTCAACTAAAATTACAAGACCCAAATTAAATAAGGATGAAATTGTGGGACTAGAAATGTAATTACCCCTTGCTAGCTATATGGTTGTTATACATACATATATATATATATATTATTTTTTCTCATTTTTAAATTTTTCTCAATATGCATAAAGGTGCAGGAAATGAACAGGGATAAAGCAAAGAAGCTGGAGGAGAGAGTGAGGTGGATGATAGATGACAAATCTTCTGAGCTGTCAAACTTGCTTCTGCTTATTGATGAAATCCAACGGTTAGGACTGGGGTATCGATTTGGAGAAAGCATAACCAGGGCCCTTAATGCAATAATTTCTCCACAAGGACCTGACAAGAAAACAATAATGGATAATTTAAATGTCACCTCCGTCTATTTTAGGCTCCTCAGGCAACATGGCTATGATGTCTCTTCAGGTTTTGTATAAATATCCCTGGATTACACTTTATCTGTCATTTTATATCTATTTGAAGGATAATTAAGCTTAACCCCTCCAGTTTAAACATAATGCTAGTTTAATCTCTACAATTTTAATTATAACATGTTTAGTCCAAAAACTCCAAACCTGTAATGTGAGAAAAAATGTTAATATTGATGTATTTTTAGACAAGAAGGGTATGGTCAGTCACACGTTTTTTCTTTAACATTTCTTGACTATATTGAGGCCAAAATACTAGAGCAAATTGGCCTCTCTGTGTTAAAAAATTGATGATCCCGTTTAAACAATAAAAATATTATCTTTTACTTGACACACTATTAAAATCTCAACACTAAATTTTTCATAATTTAGATAATTAATGACTGCATATTGTTTTCTAACCATTTTTAAGTTGGCAATAACTAAAACCTTAATTTTTTGCATTAGTAATTGTTTCTGTTGAAGATTTTATTAACCTCAACTATTGCATCGATTCTTACTCGGTAATCTTCGTTACCGAAGTACATTGGGTCATTACCTTGCATCTATAATGACCCAATTTCCTGTAGTATAACTGAATCAAAATAAAATTTGGATGAAATTACGAGAAAAAGTGTAATTTACATTTTTTTTAAGCTATTTTTTGTGCCCCTAGAATTCTTGATTTCAATCAACTTTTGTGGACAGACATATTCAACAGTTTCACATACCCCAATACCAAAACTTTGGGGCGAGCCTGTTATGGGATTTCAGGGGATTGTTGAATTTGTATGAAGCTTCATATTTAGCATTTGTGGAGGAGGATGCTCTAGAGCAAGCCAGAGCATTTGCAGGGGGGCATCTTAATAACCTCAAGAACAACAACAATGACCCTAGCGTTATGGAACATATTAATCACACCGTGGAGCTCCCGCTGCACCATAGAATGCACATGCAGGAAGCCAGATGGTACACAGAAGCATATGGTAAAAGAAAAGATGTAAATCACTTCTTACTTGAACTTGCCAAACATGACTTCAATCATGTGCAGTTCATGCTTCAAAGTGAGATTAAAGAAGTGTCAAGGTACGTGGGTTTTGAACATTTATGTCCATGGGACAAGAATAACTTCTTCACACAAACATTATTACATGCATTTGAATTTCGTCTTTGTTCCATGGACACATATGACATGTACTTGCTTCCATTAGGTGGTGGCTTGATATGGGTTTGACGAAATCGTTAGGCTTCGTCAAAGACAGGCCTGTGGAGTGCTTTCTTTGGGCGGTTGGTATGGTGCCGGAGCCTCAATTTTCCGACTGCCGAAAGGGCCTAGCCAAAGTGTTTGCGTTAGTACTAGTAATGGATGACATGTATGACGTGTATGGATCTCTGGATGAACTAGAGCTATTCACAGACGCTGTTGAGAGGTTTGTACACTAACATATGAATAGTAAGAATAAATCAAAGAGATTTAGGCTTAGTGCATTAAAATCGTTGCAGATGGGATGTCAACAACATTGAGAATCTTCCTGATTACATGAAGATCTGCTTCCAGGCTTTCTACAACACCGTTAATGACCTTACTTATGGCAAAGAGCGTGTCATTCCTTACCTAAGAAAAGCGGTATTTTCCAATAGTCATTGACCTTAGTTTTTTATGGCAACTTTTTGCAGTTAAAAATCTTTTTCTACCAGTAATTTTGTGAAACATTTTGAAATTATTTCAGTGGACCGAGTTATGCAAGGCGTTCTTGAAGGAAGCAAATTGGTTTTACAACGAGTGCACGCCAACTCTTAAAGACTATCTGGATAACGCATGGATTTCCTCTTCGGGAGTAGTTCTTTTAGTTCATGCCTACATTTTATTAAGTCAAACGACCACCAATGAAGGCTTCAAGTGCTTGGAGAACAACCATGATCTTCTGCGGTATCCCTCGCTGATTTTTCGTCTTTCTAACGATTTGGCCACTTCAACGGTAGAGCACTTTCTTTCCTTTTCCTTCTTTGGATTTGGTCCGTACTTTGTGCTTTGTTTTTTGTTTTCAGTACATTTTTGAAAACAAAAGCATAAAAGAGAAACTTGAAAACTCAGATCTGGCGTTCCCATTTCATTTTCATTTTCAAACAACAAACTAATTTTTCAAAATTTTGATTTCTGACGGAGGGATTATTGTTTTATTGAAAATAGTTTTACTTCACATGCATGCAGTCTGAATTAGTGAGAGGAGAAACCACAAACGCAGTTTGGTGTTACGTGAAGGAAACCAGCTTATCAGAGAAGCAAGCTCGTGAACACGTAAGCAATATGCTTCATGAAACCTGGAAGAAGATGAACAAACTTCTTGTGCTTGATTCTCCTTTGAGAAAACTTTCATCCAGACATGTTTTAACCTTGCTCGAACCGCACAATGCACATACCTGCACGGAGATGGCATTGGGGCTCCCGATTCCAGAGCGTATAGTCAAGTTCTGTCCTTGCTAATTGAACCTATTTGATGTGAACTTAGATTGCAGTTGATGTTGGAAACTTGGAGTAGAAGTTTTAATTTGTTATGGTGTTTCTTTGTCTTTCCTTGAACTAATTAATATATAATAAGAATGTACTACTATTTGTGTAGCTGGCCATTGAACACGTAGCAATTAACAGTGAGAAAGTTGGGTATTATAATTTTTAAATTCAAATTAATAATTAATAAAGCATTAGTATGTTTAGCAACAATTGGCAGTTAGGCAACGGACCGGCCACGGCAAAATTGAATATAAGTAACTTGCAATAATTGTTACTGTTAATTTAATGATGAATAAATTATTATTTTAGCTATAATTGTAATTGGCAACCAAAAGTTTTGTTTTGCGGTTTTATGTCCCAGAAATCCTAAACATTTTGCTACAACCAAATCAAGGCAGCAAAAAGAGCTAGGGAGAGAAGAAAGAGTTTGGTGAGGAAAAAAAAATCAAAAAATTCTTGACCTAGGTGAGAAACTTCTACATTCAATTTACGTTGGCCCAAAATGGAAAACAATCCAAATGAAGTCTTACGAGGTCAATTAAGTGCACCTCAAGAAAGGTTATCACCATACTCGAAGCCTTTAGCGATAGGTAAGCTAAAGTCACAAACAATTTATGAGCATTGAGTAAAATCACATTTGCAGGCAAAATATATATGACCAATGACTATTATTGGCAGTTTAATGTTATAAAAATGGTTATCACCATTCTTGAAACTTTTTGTGACAAATAAGTTAAAATAACGTATGATATGATATAATAGAATAATTTTTTTATAGAATATGAATGAGAATGTGATGAGTTGAGTATCATTAAATAATATTTTGTATTCTTTTCCAAAGTTTAGAAATATAGAAACTAATACTATCTTATAAAATTTCATATTTTCATATTTAATTTGCTACTAGGTTGCTTACATCATGTGCTATATAATTTACATATTGACGTGTATGTTATTTCTGTATTACAAATCACCTCTTATGACAGTGGGAAATAAATATGAAATTAAGCTAATTATTATTATTAGAGAGATTGACTTACAGAAAGAATTTTAAAGAAAAAAGATCTGCCACTTGTAATTATAATGAATTAATTTGTAAATAAATTTCAATTTTCTATTTCTACTTGTAAATATTTTCATTACTGACCAGAAGACTACGTTGCATAAATGTTCTATTTCCACTAATGGACAAAATTGTAAGCCTTGATGGAATCACTCACAGCCCTGAAGATGCGTCGAGAAAGAGACTTTTCAAGTTGTTAATTGAGCGTGTTTGCTTGCCCAAGAGTACAAGTAAAGAGAGCTATTCAACTTTCTTAATAGATTAGCCTTTGTCTTTGGATGACTTTCCCACTCCTGCAAACAGAGTTTTATGTAAGAAGTCTTATTACATTAGTATCATCAGCATTGGCTTAAGGTGTTTCAAGTTCCTCCAGTCTGGGTGAAGAGCCTGTTTGGCTGCTGATCTGAGTGGCAAGGAATCCCCCAAGCTTGTGCCTCGTTGATTTTTGTTTTTCTTCTGTTGTCCCAATCATTTATAGAGAAAAGAAATCCTTGAATTGAAGTGCTAGATTCCTTTAGGAAAATCGAATAAATAAAATTCATAAATCATTAGCACTCTTGTAATTCATAATTTGACAAATGTTTAGAGTACATAAATTAAGATCCTCGTTCAATTCTATCTCCCCTTAAAAAGAAAATTCACAATAAATTTATGATTTCTGAGAACCGTGTCAGTGAGAAGCGGACAAGCAATGAGTTTGCCACAGCTGCACCTGCTGCAGTATCTGACCCTGATCGGTACAAATATTCCTTGTGCACCCACCAGGCACAGCAGTCGCTAAGTCATGCACAAACAGACCGGGTTTCGCACCAATCGATGTGAAATGCACTGCATCCAAAACGACGGCGTAAACATGCTACCAAAAGTCATAAAGACTCGGACTAAACAAAACCCCCTTCCTAAACGCATGTCTATGTAAACAAAATGCGAGTCTGGCATAAAAAATTAGATTGCACCGTAAATTTAGGATTAAAGTAGAACTTATGAGAAAGTACAAGGACTTTTAGTAGAAGGAACTGAGATCAAGCACTTAAGTAATTCCTCTCGTAATATACATGTGTGTGTGTTTAAACAAGATCGGTTTTTGAAAATAGTACTGTGATCAATTAGATGTACAAATAAATAAAACAACAATCAGCTTCGTGTGATTTGCCTTTTTCACGCCAAGTATGTCATTTTTATTGGTTGTCTCCACGAGAGAGTGACATGGAAAGGGACTCAACCCTGGGTCTCCTCTTCCACAGGCCACAGAGAATATACAGATCACAAAAGAACAAACAGCAAACAGTTCTCTCTCCCATTATCTCTACGTACAAACAAGATTTAATTCTCTGTACTCTGTAGCAGATACTGCTCTCGATTGCCTCTGTTATCGCAGATAAAGCAATGAAATGTTACAATCACAAAATGCTCTTCTCCTTGCTATGTACACACACATGTAAAGAAACATTTATTTTATAATTAAAGTATATGAAAAATATCTATCAACTATGAACATAATTTGGGCAAGGATCTAGCAGTACTTTGGCTTGATAATCTTGATTTCATGATCTTTGCCATTTGGGATTGCATTTTCCTGCAAACTTTCTCCAGCTCAAGCACCCTCCATTGCATACCTTGGAGGTGTGCTCTGAGTTTGTCATTCTCAGATGAGAGATTGAGCTTTCCAGCATAAAGCACAATTTGTTCACAGGCCTCATCATATTTCTTTTCTTTCAAATCAATCCCTGCTAAGCTACATGGGGAGTCCACAAAAGTTTGGGCTGGGTCGGTCTCCTGGAGCAAGCTTCTGAGCTTGCACTGCTGAGAGATGAGAGCTTGGGTGGCAGATTCTGAAGGGAACTTCCTGTTCCGAGTGAGGTGATCACAAGCTTCCGAGGATAGCTTCTCATAATTCAATCCGAACAGATGTTTATCTTTTCCTCTTCAGATAATCCAGAATGGACCTGCTCAGACCAATGTATCAAAGATAATGAAAAGGAAATCATCTTTTTGAATTGTAACGAGGTCATAGGCTTCAATAAGAACACGACGGAACCTAATTATATTGGGATTTGTGTCTTTTCTTTCTGCTTTTTATGTTTTAGATAGCAGAAAAAACTGCAAACCTTGAAAAATATATTGTTTTCTCATATTTTCATTTTCAACTGCAAATTCTTTCTGCAAACTATATATATATATTTTTTTAATAAACAACTTATCAAACAGGTTTTCTGTTTCCAAAAACACAAAACTGTTTCCAAAAACAAATCCAAACAGGCCTCCCAGAGAACTGCTAACAAGAAAGTACATATCCAGATAACAATTCAAGACCATGCTAGGCAAAGCAAGAGTCTAGACTACTACCTCTAGGTACAAGTTCATGGCATGGTAGATTCCATCACAGTTATCCCTGGCAGAATCTGGCAGGGCCCTAACTAGAGCCAAGAATTTTGATGGTTTCAAACAGGGATCTGGCGCGACTTCTGCTATGTATAGGTCCATCAAGCTAGCAACTTTCCTTAGTCGAAACAATGGTATGCAGCACGCTCCTTTTCCCATAAATGACTTCAAGAACCTTAGGACCAAATTCACATCATATAGATAGTTTGTTCCTGGTGGTGCTGGCACAAGCAGATTGTCTAGTGTTGCTTGATCCATATGTGATCCAATCATGCTCTCTAACTTGTTCCTGCAACATTTTTGTATGTCTAAACGCAGAGAAATCTGAAGAATTCCGAACAAGTTCTTGCACGAAATAGCACTCCAATCTAGAGAATGGAGCACATTCACTACCATGTCGATAATTTTTCTTTTCTCATCTGTTGTACTGCTAATAGACCTTGATTTCTGGTAATATAATAGGAACCTACTTATGGTAGCATGATCAAATCTCCGGGAAATCATCAATTTTGATATCATTTCAACCAAATCAGGACAGAAACCCACGAGATCCTCAAACCACCAAGTTGCTCTAAAAGGGCAATTTTTCAAGCTATCGGTGCTTCTAGTGTCACAAGAAAGCCGAAATCCAGTACTATCTGGTGAAGAAGAAGATGGGCATGGGCTTGTTTCACTGGCCAACACAATCCTCCCAACAAGAGAATCCAAGCATTGATGTAGTATATCAGTGGAATTTACAATAGGAAGTAAATCTTGACATTGCTTCAAAGCAATCAAAAGCTCAGACCATGTCCAATACCTGATGTCCTTGAGAGATTTCTCTGTTTGTTCAAGTAAATTGGGGGTTCCAGGACATATTTGTCCATTTCCAGGAATTGTGCAGCAGAGTGTAAGAGAGCAAGGTTTAAGGGATTTATCTCAACTTTTCCTTTGTTGTAGCAGAACCTTGTCACGAGCTCAAAACTCTCTGCCCCTCCAGGGAAGTCTTGGAATATCACGTTCAGATTTTTCGTCCCACCAGGGGATTTTCCGATTAACTTATTTATTCTTCCTGAATAAGAAGAAATCGTTTCCTGCAAATGTTGATAACACGGCGAAGTCAGATAATTCAAACAATTCAAATTATGGAAAACTTCAAGCCAGATACATAGAATCAAGAGGGACAACCTAACAACACTTCCATTCTGAACTTTAAAAACTGAGAAATTTTTATGGAACTATCCCAACTTGCCATATCAACGTCTTAAGGAACGAATGAAAAACAAATATTAGAAGCTAATACATCATTGAGAATAAATGTCCAGGACAAATGTCCTTTTATTTATGTACTTATTCTTGACAGGTTCAAGGAAATAATATATAATAATGAAGAAAAGATAATACAAGGCAAATCCCAGTTACTTTCAAAATGGAGCCTTTCAGAGCTTAAAAACCAACCCAAAGCTTTGAATTTACCAAACCAAGAAAGGGAACGAAAAGCAAAATCTGAATCAACTCCTGCAAAAGAATGGGTGGGAGGTCGTTATACATAATAAATGGCTGAAGAGGAATCATGGAAAGACGTATGCTGGTACTACCACCAAAGAAGGGAAACAACAGTGAAGAGAATGAGCAATCCTGTGTCCCTCTTGAAAAGAAGTAAATGACTAACGGCACGAGAATTTAAGTCCCACACCTACTACATTAAATGCATTGTGGGGAAGTAAAAATAGAATGCTGTCACCTGAAACTGACGAAGGAAAATGCCAAATTTTTGCAAATGAGGTGCAAATTGAACGAAAGACGACAAAATGCACTAAGAAAGAAAAGAAGATGAAGTTTTCCATCTTGTTTTCGTGCAAGGTTTTGTGCCAAAAGAAGATAAGCTCAAACTAATTAAGCTCAGATGAGAGGTTACTGTTTATGGGGAGGACCAAGAAATCAAACTTCTCTCGACATTCTCAAAGTAGCCGAGTAATCAAACAAACCACGCCAGGAGAATTAATTACCAATACTAAAAGCTCATCCCAGCAAATGCAGAAGAAACTGAAGACAAGTTAGAAGGAGAAAGAAGCCAAGAGCAGAGATTTTATTACCTTGTCCAAAATGAAAATCTCTTCGCCATTGACATCCACTTCAAGATCGCAAGAGGCCTCCATGACTCAAATGAAGAAAACCCAAAACCTCCCTCAGAAACAGGCTCTTTAATCGGAAACCGTTTCAGGAAATTAAAAATTATAGGAAGACCAACAACCCAACCTAGGCATAGACGTGGGTGAGAGCAGAGGACATCAGCAGAAGCAGACTATATTCCTGAGGTGGGAAAGAAGACAAACAGAAAGATGTTCGCCTTGGTTCTGCAAATGCTTACGTGGCTCTCAACTGCTTTGGAGAGATAAAAGAGTCTTCTTGAAGCTAGGAGTATGACGACAGAGAATACACGTACACCCACACTTAAAAATGCCAGCATTACGAGATTATTGAAGCAGTTGAGTGCCTACCAACTCTGACTTTCCTCCAAATATTTCCTCTGGAAATAGTATATATTTGTAAAAATCAATTCGGAAGCTTTTCCTATGGTTTTGGTTCCTCTCTTGCTAGTTAAGTCACCCCTCTCTCTCTCTCTCTCTCTCTCTCTCTCTCTCTCTCTGTGCAAGTTTCTGTCTCTGCTCTTTATCCCGTTAGTTTATCCTCTCCTTCCGTCAGTTTCTCTCCCTCTCTACGGTAGTGCCGTTTAGGGGCTTGTACGGGGGAAAAATGCCAACACGCTCCTCGACTGTAAAATATTTATAAACACATCAAATAAACTTTTAACTTTTGAATTAGTCCTTCAATTATCAGAATTATTCCATTCCGATAAACCCTTACAATCCACTTATCGTCCAAAATGCTAGCGGATTCTAGCTGCTTCGTTGGCATCCAAAGGCAATCTAATTAAGCATTTAAAATAAATTTTCTTCTGAGGCATTCATGCTCCACCATTACGAAATCTATTTCGTAGCTCTTGTCCATGTGTTCTTTTACTTTCAATTTCTCTTGTTTCATTTTCCAATTATGGATAATTAAATTTTATAAAAGTTGGGAGGTAAAAACCCAACATGCAAGCAATATTACAACTAAAAATTCCTATTAACCTTTTGAACAGCAAACGGGTTGTATCGTAAAGACCTGTTGGGAATAAAAATGATAGGTTAAGATCCCACTTTAAGATTACAAGTTTAAGAGGGCGTGTTTATGCAATGATTTAGGGGGTGTTTGGCCTCTTCCCTTTATGGATGCTGATAATTCTTTTTTATTTTTTCTGAACAACGCTGCTGATAATCACTGACACTAGAATGGAGGGGACAACTGCAATTGGCTCGACTTAGGTGATATTATGTGACGACACTTGATTACCTAATAATTTATTACTATTTTCACTTCATTAATTAAAAATTAAACATACAGTTTAAAACATCACCGATTGCCACCACTCTATTCATGCCAATTTCATGTTTGACTAGCATTAGACCGTGGTAGGGTAAATATAAAGTGACAACAAATATCAACATTATTATATATTTAAAATATAAAATAATAATTTGTGGGATTGCACAAGAATCCAGATGCATAAAAAGATGGCTAAGTTGATTTAAATCATAAATTAATAACTGACTGAATTGGTTATTTTCTAATTCATCAGATATCTCAATTTATGAATTCCCATTTGTATGTAATGCTTTAATGGTTTTCAAATATTTTATTTTGAGTTAATAATTTATCCAAAATAAAAGTAAAGAAATGATTTACGAAGTTGTGATCATGTGACAATGTTATTGAATTTTTTATTATATAATAATAAATAATAGATTTGGGAATATGTGATAATATTTCAAACAAGTAAAAAAAATAATAATAACGGATACGTTAAGATGAACGTTTTTGTCAATTCCAAATTACGCAATTGCCACTTTAATCTTTAGGTTTGGCAGTGGGTCCCTCTAAAAATCCTTTTAAGGTAATCAACGGCTTTGTTTCCTTTACAAACTCGCGCGATTGCGTGGATCCTACTAGAGATTCGCCTCAAGCAAAATCAAATTTAAACTGGCGAAAGGGGAATTAAAGAAATAATAGAAGAATAAAATTCAGAATTCTTGATTGATGAACTGGGTCCACCCTACTTTGAAACCACTTTGCTTTTCATTTTTTTTTTTTTAGCAAAGAATGTCAGACAGATACTTAAACTTAATTTGAAAAGATCAAGGTAATGATGGTATTATTAAAATGTGATAATTAATTTTGTGGGATCACCATGTTACCCAAACAATAAATCAAATCATGGGATACTAATTGGAGCAACCCCGAAGAAAGGAACCATTTAGATTCAAGGAGCCCTTTTTTTTTTGGCTTGGATATTAGGCATCGTTTTACACTTCCAACTTTTGATTTCCCTTTTTTCAAAACAATCTTATTTTATTATTGAAAATTTGTTTAACTTAGTTTAAATGTATGGTAAAGGTAACAGAGGTAACATGTCAATAAGAACTGACTCAAAAAGATAACATACGGATCAAACTGGAATTTTATTTTATTTTATTTTATTTTATTTTTGTGTAAACAACTAACTTTACCATTTCAGATAGATTCATGGTAGCAAAATTAATGACTTCCTCGACATTTAAAGGTAGTCTCGCTGGGCTAGAACATATTTTCTTAAAAATTTTAAATTGGAATTTTCATAATTTACAAGAAGTCCTGTTGAAAAGTAAAAAAAAAAAAAAGTTAATAACAATAAATAAAGCCACAACTTTTAATGGTACTGAATGAACCACAAGAGTACACCAAAATATTAGAAAATTTTTATTATAATAAAAATATATTCTCCCACATTTAATTTACCAATGGCCCAATTCTTAGCTACTTGGACTTCCCTTTTGGGCTGAGTAGCAGCCCAAATACACATAGTTTTTGGAGCACTTCGGCTTTGGGTTGGGGGGGGGGGGGGGACTCTGAAAACCCACACTACATATGGTTATGATGAAACAAACACTATGCTGGCCAAATTTTCAAAAATTATCAGGTGAGAATTAAAAATATCCTATAATAGAAACTACTAAGGAAGAATAAAAAAAGTTTATGATAGGGATATTTCTCATCAAATTCAAAATTATTGACTGACAACTGCACATGTAAAGTGATAATAATATCAAAACTATTTTTTAATATAGTATCATTCTTTTTTCTATTCACATGATGATGAGGTAATATGGGTTTTACGATAAATCATAATATAAAAAAATAACTCTAATATTAGAAGTTATTTGAAAAATTAGTTTTGGTATTATCAAAAATTTCAAAAGATGGATCATAATTGGTCTCATATAAATTTGTCAACGAGTAACATTTGATTAGGAATTGGTTTAGACCCTAACTATAGAAAAACTCAATCCTGTGGATATGGATCTTGACGCCTTTTGCATTATTTTGGGAATTAAACTCTTGATTCAAATATAGTGAATAGTAGTGATTAAACATGTTCCAAGAGGAAAGAACTCTGTTGGGAATGGATGCTTTTATAGGCTATTTGATATGTGGGAAGAGTGTATTTTAAAGAGAAGAGTAATAGATAGAAAAACTCTTTATTGATTCTCAAGTTTTGGTTTAATACAATATAGTAAAAAATATATTTATTTATACTAATGACACTTTCTCAATAAATGATTAAGATTGTATCAGCATATTTTTAATTCTATTACTACAATTTACTCTTTAGAATTTTATATCAAAATATCTCTTTTATTAGTTAGAAATACCTAGATTTTTCTAAAGGCTATTTTAGATAAAAGATTTTTAAATTTTGACTCACCGGACTCCAATATAATTAAATCTTGCAAGGCCAATAAGTAAGTCTAAAATACTATATAAGTCAAATCAAATTTAATTTTCCAATAAACTCATGTAAATATACGTTTAATAATTAAAATTAAAAGATTGGATCTTCTCTCCTAAGTAGTTAAACTGTCAGTTGTACCATGATACTATAAGAGCTGCTTATCCTGGCGTCTTCTAATATATTTTTTTTATTGGCTTCAAACCCTATAATAATCCAAAAAAATAAAAAATAAAAAAAAAGGAATTCTGAGACTCATGAGGTTTAATTTAATATATCCAAAACTTCTTGTACTTTAGCTCAAATGAAGAGAAAAATGAAAAGGGAATTTAACGAGTGAGGTTTAAATTTTTCCTTTTTCAAAGTCAGGTCTCAATTCTTTTAGGCAGGTCCACGATTAAACTCCGCGAATAGGTTTTAGCCTTGCCCTCTTTAGCTACTTAGATTACAATGATACTTAATTAAGAGGCCTGCCTGTATGTGCTACCAGTTCAAATCATAGATTTCTTTTATTAAAGTTTGGCATCAGCCTTTTGCCTAGGGAAATTAATTTAGATTTGCATTTCAATTTTGCAATTAATCCACTTGTACATATTTAATAATTCTAACAACTCTTATAGAAGATTAATAAAATATCTTGCAATTGAATGCCCCACAATCCAGAATGTCTTGCCGTGTACTGTTGTACTGTGATTTATGTCTCACTTGACCTGACATTGCATTAGCTGTAAACATAGGGGCTGAAGGTGACTGATCATGACCAGAAATGGGCATGTGGTCCTTGATCCTTTCTCTTGCTTGGTTGAATTTTGCTGTCTCTTGGTCTATAGATTGCAGATATATGTAGCTACTTTTCGAGATGTGTAAGAGATCTATTGAAAAAGAAAAAGAAAAGACATCGGATAAAATTTATTAAAATAAGATTTACCCAAGCCATGGAGTCTTTTACTTACAAAATTTATTAAATTTTGTTTTATTTTTAAGTCCTAATCACTACTTAATAAAGCAACCATTTTTTTCATTTATTCAGCCTCATGGTCGGGATGTAATAGTACTCTTGCCTTGGATATCTCTTATCTTCATGTAATTTGAATATTACCCACCTTATGTTGTATAGAAATAGTCCATGAACATAAATCATAACTCCGATCAACACGACAAAAAAAGAAGAAAAGATAGAACTTTGATTGAAAAAAAAAAGGATATCTGGTTTAAGAAGAACAGGAAAACAAAGCCTGAAAAAAATTGAAAATCATGGAAGTTGATAGCTTTTGTCTTTCGGACAAGTAGAGACAAGATTCATGTGTGAAATCATACCAAGTGCTCCCCTTTTCGCTGCTTTGCCTTATGCCCATTGCAGCCTTCAACAAAGCAAAGCATGGACCGCTAGAGCCACATCTCTTGCATGGGAATGGTCCTACCAATTGGTACATGCGCATCCATACGGTAAACGTGGGATGACACCCAACTCATCAATCCTCATACCCATTTGGCACCCAGGCCGTGGCATAAACCGAGTTGTGCCCCTTCCACGTGAGAACCAACATGTCATTGTCTTGCTTCATTCCCCAACCACTCGCATGTTCATCTAGCAATTCCTTCACTTCCTTCACACTCTCTTCCCCAAACGCTACACTTGAGAAACCGATGTTATTCATCCTCTGGCTCAACTTAATCCCACACTCTAACCTCTCAATCCTTTGGCTCCCTTCGAATCCAATAATGTTTTCAATTTTATAACCAATGTCGGCTTCGTATTCTATCCTCTGGCTACTCTCCTTGGGCAAGAAAGTTTCCAAGCTATCAAACGGTATCCATAAATAATTGAAACCATTGGTAATCCTTGCAGCAAGACTTGATGATGAGTTAAGATCACAGTCTTCATCTACAATGATGATAATACGAGGGTTAAGGCCTTTAATTATATTAAGAAAAGCATCTTTATGCTCTTCCGGCAAATAGCGGATCCAATTTTGGCAATTGATGACCAAAGCCTCATCATCCATGAGATCTAAGTCCAAAATATTCAGTTTACTTAAGAGTGAATTGCAATAAGAATTTTTAACTGATGACGGCGAATCTGCTTCAATCATGCGTAATTCAAACAGAACATCCCTAGACCTGGCGAAATTTGCCAAGCGCAGCCCAACTTCTTCACTGGAAACGTTAAGAAAGGGAGGAACGGGAGGCCTTACTGAGGGCACGGTGATCCGAAGCGAAGGAGGCCCTTCTGGCCTTTTACCAAGTACATCAACGAGAGTTGGCCATTGCATACAATAAGTAATACTAAAATCTAATATATGAACTTTCGAGTACCCTTCAATTATCCTAAAAATGGCACTATTTGAAGCACAAAAGCCAAACCTGTGCCAGGGGATCAGATCAACGTAAGCCACGAGCTCGGTGATAGACATCAACCTCCTCTGAAGGGCATTTCCTGTATTGAAATTCATTGATGTGGGGTAAACCCTAGAGGCCCTTGAGATGAGTGCCCTTAAGAACCAAGAGGTGAGCCTCTGGTTGGGGTCACCCAAGGCCGACGCGACGTTGTTGAGCACCCACATGACTTGCTGGGCCAGAGTCACGTCGTTGCTCTCTAGGGCACTCGCGCAGTGGAGAAGCAGCTTCTCTATGCAAGCCCCGTCAAGGCTGCCCAAACAGCCTCTTAAGGCGGTGCCCAACAAACCGGGGCTTTGCACTGAAATGGGTGTGGAGGTGTTGCTTCTCAGCTCTGCTTCCATTGTGATGTCACTGAAGCAATTGAAAGAATGAAAAAAAAGAACAGTCTTCAATCCGTCTCAGCAGCAGAAATAATTGAAAGAACGAAAGGAAGAACACCGTCTTCAATCCATCCCAAGGTCTAAGAGTTCAAAAGTGAAATGTAAATGCAAAGAACGAAATAGTTTATCCGATTCACATGTAGATAAATGGTATAAGGGGAAATATGTTTAACGTGCATGGAAAGACTGGAGCTTCAGGTAAGAAAGGATTGAAGAAGACGCACTTTAGTTGGCTTTCTCCTTGATATGCAGATAGTGGAATCTGAGGTTGAAATTCTACGGTTTTGTCTCATGGTAGAAGAGAATTTTCACGATCAACAATTATGATGGCTTGAATCCTGGAGATCCGGAACATGGCTCTAGTACTGACTTAAGTCTGCTTTGTTTTGAGAGAGAGAGAGAGAGAGAGAGAGAGAGAGAGAGGCAGTTCCCATCTACTGGCTGATGAGAGGATAATATATACGAATAAGCATAGATTCCCAGTGAATAATTATGTAGATGCCGTCATGCGCAAGAGCCTTACAGGTGTGCGGTCGGATGAACTCAAAAGGCTGTTTCTGAAATTGCATTTTGTGCTTATTTGTTCAATTTTAAATTTAATATGTTCAAAAAAAAATTCAAAGATCAGGAGTTCGCTGGTTCTTTTCTAAACTTAAATTAAAAATTGTAGAACCTTGTGTTCTAACTTTTTAATTTTTGAGTCCTAAAAATGGAACTTTTAAGTTTTAAAAATTAAAATGTCAAACAATAATAATGAAACAACAGTTATAAATGCTTTTTTAAATTAATTTAAACAATTTGATTATAAATTTTCATATTTTATTAATATATAATATTTTTACCGTTTACAAATACTTATTTTCAATCCTGTCCAGAAAATTCAACCTATCTTACAACCGATTAGTCTTGGCAGAAGGCAAGCTTCTTAGATGTTACTTTCGTCTGGTACATCATTTCTTTTTTTATTAGGTGAAACTTCAAAACTCCAATCATTGGTCGATCACCACAAAGTTAGTAGATCATGACTGGACCAGATAGGACGATGGACCGTCCTAATGACGGAATTCATTTTTATTCAGAATAATATAGATGGAAATTGCATAATACTAATAATAATAATAGCTGTGATACCAAATATTGGGTCCAAAAATATTTAAAAATTAAAATAATATTTAATCAAAAAATCAGGAACATCATGATCCAAATTTGCATGAAGCAAAATAAAAAATCTAGTTAGATCAATATCAAATAATAATAATGAGTATAAAAAATTTGTAAATAGTTATACAGAAAATTTTATTTGATCTTATATATTTTTAAATGCGTATATTGAAAATTATCACATAATGCAAGTTATTACTGGCTATGGAGTCAAACCAACACCCATAATTATTGTGGAGACTCACATTATAAAATTTTATATGCTAATTTGTCCAATGTCACCCTTAGGGTCTTTACCACACCATATATCTTTTCAAGTGAGAAACGGTAAAGAGTAGGTCAAGTCAGCTGCCTTTTGCCGGCCATCCTTTTGTCGAATTTGAACTCTTATAATGACATTTGAGACAAACCCAAGATTGGATTGTAGTTAATTCTTCCCTTTTGATTAGTTGCTTCTTCCATATATTGCCACAACTAATGACAAATGAACTACCTATACATGAGATAAATTGGTTAAGTTTTTTCACCCAAATGTAGATAAACTTTCAAAGTTTTACTGTCTTACTGAAGTTCGTCCTCGCTAGCTATGTTTAAATTGGTAAATAAGGCGGTTAATATTGTTGTTTTATGTAGGTTTTTATAAATAAACAAGCTGACTTTTGGCTTCTCCATGTCTTATGATAATTTAGTTCTAATTTCACTTGTTTCTCATACGTAAAAAAGGCATACAAAACATTTTCTTTGGTTGAAAATTCTCACATGTAATTTATGAAGCAAAAAGTTGAAGGCGCATTCCATTTTGGGAATTACCAGTGTTCATGCTATAGCTTTCGTCCAAATTTATTGCTAATATCAACCGACTAGAGGACCAACAGAAGGCCATCTTAATTAGCTTTGATAAACGGTGATAATTCTAAGTTTAAGGTTTGACCAGAAGTTGAAGATGATTTGAAGTGCTAATACACTATAAAGTATTCCGAACATATACCAAGGACAAGAAAAGCAAGATCAAAATTAGGGTTGAGGTAATCAGGAAGCTCAACCATCTTACTTTGTACTACAGTACCATGCATTTGCATTAAAATTCGGATTCATTTGGACAATGACAGCACCCATGAAATATACTTCAATTGATTATATGTCCATATTTACTTCATTTCCAATCTAACAAAGCCAAATAAGCTTAGGAATACTCACCCCCAGATAATAAGATTATAATAATTAGATCTAGCTAGATATTCTTCGTTATCTAGTACTACCCAAGAAGCAAACAAAAGTGCTTGTCTCGGTTGACATCACATAATTACAAGTCGCAGCACCATCTTTAATTAGCTTATTGTTAGACGAAGTAATACCAGATTTCATGTGAGGTGCCATATTGGAATGTTGTAGTTCATCCTACGTAACCCTTCTAAAATTTCACGATCATCAGGATTTAAATTTTGTTGGAATCGTTTCCGCGGCCGGAAAATGCTTTATCAGATTCGATACAGCAAAATGCATCAGATAAAACTAATGACTTTGAGAAGGTCAAATTGTTATTCACGAGAATTATGATTTGTTTTCCCCCATAGAAACAAAAACCAGACTCCGAAACCTCTCTGTACTTCAGTTTACTCCTACCAACCCTCTCTATATGATGTTATATTGGTTCCATTCATTTACCCAATTAGAATAAAAGGAGCTTCTGCTAAGCTGCTTCTGTGTGGCAGTCAAAAGCACTTCCCAAGTGTGTAACAAAAGGCTCCAGCTTGGTGCAATTTTAGTACCATGTCTGGATAGCTAGTGAAAAGGGAAATCTTTCTACCGTATTTGTTTGAATTATTTGCGAGAAAAATTAAGACAATAAGGCCGACATTTCTATTCACCTTCTTAATTTAGGAATAATTTCAAGTTTTATCTGTTTATTTAGTCATTGTAAAGACAAAAACATTAACTTAATTTTCTTAATTGTTTCCAATTTTGGGAATACTGAAGGTTGAAGTTGCGAATAATTTCAACTTTTCCTAATCTCCTTTTTTATCCATTTCTTTTAATATCGATTTTTCTTTTAAATCTAAACTAAGAAACCGTCTACAAAATTATAAACACCGAAAATTATACACATTTTAACGCTAAGAAAGATAATGAATTTGACTATCAGGACAATGAAGTTAAACTAAGGATATTAATCATGCCACCTCAGGTCGGCCCTTGACTAATATGATTAGTGAAAATTACCATATTTACCTAAATAAAAAGATGATTCAAACAATTAAACTTCTCTCCATCACGTCAAAAATCTTAAATTAGATAATTAAGAGAATACTAATTAAAAGTTGACCTAGATAGTTAACCTAATTGATCATTAGCCAATTGCTCAACTGACACACGGACCTATATGAAGCTGGGGTAGATTAGGTTAACCCACCCTAAGGTTTAATAAAATGACAGTAAGCACCCTGGCATTTGAAAAAATATGCTGACCTTCCCTATGATTTTACGTCGAAGACAAATTCCTCCCTTCCGCCAAAACACAGCGAATTTACCCAATTGGACGTGATGATGATGACTCACTATAATAATTTCAAAAAAGGAAAACGATTAATATTAATAGAAAGTAGTCATGCAAATTGGTGAGGATGAATCTCTATAACTACCTTTTCTAATTTGTATAATCATTTTAATGAATTTCATGACTCTACAATTTAGTATTTCCTGTTTAGTATTCTGGGGAATTGGTTTTGTTTTGGAAAGTCCTCTTTTAAAGTTTTATCCGGCAATTTTACATACAATTAATCCCCGGTAAAGGTAATCTCTATCTATTGACTATGACCTTACCTAATCGTGCCTAATGAATAGCCTAAGGACGATTACAAATAGCATAAAAAGACGGATGTAAGTGTCAAATGCCAGCCTATGAGACGTATATAAGCCCTTTTCATTAGTTAATTTAGAATTATTAATTGGTTAAATTTGAATCAAATCAGTTAAATTTAAATTCAAATTTAATTAATTATTTTTTATATTAAAATTTGATTCACAATTCTGTAATATTTGTATTTACTTATTCATATTCAAATCTGATAGATAATCAGAAATCTAATAAAAAAATCTAATTTGATAAAAATAATAATACTATTTTGCACTTAAATCTTTCAACTCTATTTTATTATTAGTCCCTAAATTTTCTAATTTTTTCAAGTTAGTACTTATAACTTTAAATTTATTAATATCATATATATATATATATATATAAGATTATTAATTTAGCACCTATAATTCCATATTCTTAATGGATCGAATTATTTGATTTCATATTTGATTTACTTATTTCGAATTATGAAGTTTTATAATTAGATTTAATTTGTTGAATATTTTAATTAAATTAAAATTCTAAATTTTAGATTAAATTTAAATCATATTCAAATTAAAACTCAAACCGTTAACAATCCTAGATAATTTTCTTTTCACTTCATGTGGGTGCAGCACACACTTTTGAATCCACCTTTCCTTAACCTCTCTATTGTTCGTGCATTTGGTTATTGAGTTAAAATGGACAAAAAGGCTCTTTCTCCATTCCTGATAACTGGGGAAAGAAGGATGTGAGAAGGAGAAGATGAGAACATGTGTTCTTCAGTTGGATGGTATAAATGAGGCAGAGAACAAAATACGAGACAGTCCAACAAATTCTCAAGTCTTTCAATCATCCGTGTCTTGATCAGTGCGTGTAGCCATGCATTATGAACCTTTCATATTGAAAAAATCCTAGGGATGACAACTGGACCAGATATATTTGAAAAAATTACTTGAATAAGTCT